CCCACCCATCCCCCTTCCCCTGGAGAGAGGCAGACTCCGAGGAGGGGGGAGGAGGCCCAAATACAGGGTCTGCATCCCCCTGGCCCTCACAGATTAAACATGCGTCCTTCCCCCACCGCCACCAAGACTGGCCTCCTCATCTGTGACAGTCCTGGCACTCTGAAGCCAGAAGTCATTCTCTCAATGCCTCTCTCGGGGGCCCAGCCCCTGCTGCAAAGTTTCACTTATAATCACCGTGCTGGGTAAACCCAGACACTCAGTCAGAGAAGGTCTCTTCCAGGTGCATGTGTGAAATCAGCCAAATCTTACACGCTGGTGCCCTTCCAAAAACAAATGATTTTAAGAGCGTGGGAACTAGACAGAACACATCCCCTGGTTAGGAGTGCTCATGGACCCTCATGAAAGCCACACACCCGTTTTACAGAAAGGGAGACTGAGGCCCAGAAAGGGAAGAAACTGACCTGGTGAGACTCTGAGTCCGGGATTCCATGACGGACCTGAACCAAGTGACAGAATTCGTCAGCAATGATGGGACCACCACCATCGTGTGCCTCCTGATCCAATGCACTGAGAAGGACACGACATCGCTTCTATGATATTCCTGTCACCAGAATCCAAGCACAAGGAAATCTCAGACAAACCCAAATCTAGAGGGACATCTTACAAAAGGACCGGCCTGGAATGTTTAAAAATGTCAGCTTCATGAGACACAAAGAAAGGCTGAGCAATGGTACCAGACTGAAGGAGATTGGATCCTGGAGTGGAAAAATGTTTTGCTATACGGGGCAGTTTGGGCACAGCTAGTGATTTGAATACAGACGGCGCCGTTTGTGTTCTGTCACTGCTACACGTCCTGATTTTCATACCTACCCTGTGACTGTGTAAAGAATGTCCTTTTATGTGGAAATACACACCAAAGTGTTTAGAAGCAAAGGAGCATGTCCGAAACTTACTGTCAAATGGTGGTGGGGGTGGTGGGAAGACAGAGAGCGTGCATAAGGAGGCAAATTGTTCACAACTGGTGAATCTGTGTGAAGGGTATCCACAAATTCTTCATCCTTTTCTTGCAACTTTTCTGTAAGTTTAGAACGATTACAAAAAAGAAAAAAATGATTACAAAGTAAAAGGCATGGTCTAAAATTCTATGGTTTTAAGGCTCTGTGTTTCTAAGGGTGTCTGTCTGTGCATGCATCTGCGGTCAGAGTCTGAGAAGTCGGAAGGGAGAATTTGCTGCTGCAGACGATGCCGTGGGGTGTGACCAGGGATGTAGGGTGTGGTTAAGGCCTCGGAGTGTGGCCAGGGGTCCTGGGGGTGTACCCAGAGTTTCAGAGGCGTGGCTGGGATGAGGGGCAGGCCATATCCTGGGGTGTGGTCAGACCCTTGGGGCGTGGTCAGAGCCTCGGAGGTGTGGCCAGAGTCTGGGACAGGGCCTGAGGAGCTGTGTTCCCGAGGGAGGAGGTAAGCCTGTGCTTAGAGCGCCCTCTTGTGGTCACCATGGGGTCCAGCCTCCTCTTTTTTAAAAAACTGCTTTATTGAGATATAATGCATATACCTTACAATTCAATTATTTAAAGTGTATAATTCAATAGTTTTAGTAAATTCAAAGTGCAATCATCATCACAATCAATTTTAAAATAGTCCTTCACCCCAAAAAGAAATCCTGTACCCGTTAGCAGTCACTGCCTTTTTCCTCTAACTCCCTTCAGCGCTAGTCAACCCCTGATATACTTCCTGTCTCTATAGATTTTCCTATTCTGGATATTTTATATGAATTGAATCATATACCGTGTGGTCTCTTGTGACTGGCTTCTTTCACTTAGCACAAGTTTTTGAGGTTCGTCCACGTTGTAGCCTGGGTCAGTTCTTCATTCCTTTTCATAGCTGAATAATATTCCACTGTCTGGGTATACTGTGTTGAATTTATCCGTTCATCAGTTGATGGACGGTTAAGTTGTTTCCACAAATTTTTGCGTGGAGATATGTTTTCAATTCTCTGGGATACATACACATAGGAGTGGAATTGCTGGGTCACATGGTAAACACAATGTTTAACATTTTGAGGAACTGCGAGACTGTTTTCCAAAGCGACTGCACCATTCACATTCCCACTCGCAGTGTATGAGGGTTCCAGTTTCTCCACAGCCTCTGCGACACTTGTTATTGTCTGTCTTTTTGATTCTAGCCATCCTAGTAGGTGTGAAGTGGGGTCTCGTTGTGGTTTTGATGTTCATTTCCCTACCTGGTGATGAGGTTGAGTATCTTTCCAGATCATCCACTTCTTTTGTACACGACTATAGGAACTCTTAACCAGTTTGCCATATTTGATCCCGATTTTTAAAATTCCAGCATTAATGACATTGTTGAAGTCCCAGTGTATCCTTCTCAGAGTCCATCCTTTTCCTTCTCCACATCCTGCATTTAATGCTCAGCGTGACCACCCGTGTTTGCATACTATTATCCTATACAGTCGCACCCCCAAATAAGAGAGAGCATTGGTTTTGCAGGTTTTCAAACTTGGTATAAATGACTTTGTGCTGTAGTAATCTTCTGCACTTGCCTTTGTAACTCATTGTGTTGCTTTCTTGTGGCTGCTGTAACAAAGGACGGCAAACTGAGTGGCTGTAAACAGCGGACATTTATTCTCTCACAATTCTGGAGACTAGGAGCCCAAAATCAAGGTGTCGGCAGGGCTATGCTCTCTCGGAATGTTCCAGGGGAGGATCCTTTCTCGCCTCTTCCAGCTTCTGGGGTTTGCCAGGAATCCTCAGCTTAGAGATGCGTCGTTCCAATCTCTGCCTCCCCCATCACACGGCCTTCTCTCTGTGGGTGTACCTGCGTCTGTGTCCAAATTTCCAGTTATATTGAATTTAGGGTCCACCCTAACTCAGTATGACCTCATCTTAACTTGGTTACACCTACAAAACTATTTCTTCCCCCCCCCCCAAAGCCCCAGTAGATAGTTGTATGTCATAGCTGCACATCCCTCTAGTTGCTGTATGTGGGACGCGGCCTCAGCATGGCCGGAGAAGCGGTGCGTCGGTGCGCGCCCAGGATCCTAACCCGGGCCGCCGGTAGCGGAGTGCGCGCACTTAACCGCTAAGCCACGGGGCCAGCCCTACAAAACTATTTCTAAATAAGGTCACATTCACAGGTGCCAGTGGATGTGAACGTGGGCACCATTCAGCCCAGCGCGCTCATCGTGATGTTTTTACGATTCACGCTGTTGGTATGAGGGCCCAGTTCATTCATTTGAACCACAGCGTGGGCGTTCTTTTGTGAGAGCATACCACAATTTATTCATCCCTTCTCCTGGTAATGGACACTTACCTTGTTTCCAGTTTTCTCCATTTCCGGCAAGGCTCAACATGTCTCTCGGAGTATTTTTCCAACTGCCCCAAGATCCATTAGTGGGTTGTGAAATCAATTTAGTGGGTTGCAAACACGATTTCCCTTTAATAAAATAGTATTGAATAGAAGATATTAGAGTGCATGCATATAGTCGGGGCAAGGGGCACCCCCGTGAAACTGTTTCGGGTGTATCAAGTCCCCGTGTGAGTGGAAGTGTCTACAAGCCACAGCTCTGAAGGATGGAGGCGGCAGTGGGCTTGCCCCGTCAAAGATTTGATGGATGCTGCCAAATTGCTCTCCAACACAATTTGCCCGTTCACACTTCCATCAGCTCCTCGTCAACACTTGACTTAGTCAAAAATTTGAATTTTTGCCAGGCCAATGGGTTTTCATCTTATTTTCCAGAGGAGGAAACTGAGAGGCAAGGAAAGCAAGGAGCTGAGAGGCAGACCCCGCCATCCGGACTGCAAAGATGTGGTCTCCACTTCGTGTGGGTTGCAATATCGAAGATTCCACAAGTTAAGGATTCTAGGTTCTGAGAGATGGAGGTTGGGGGCTGAAGGGGAGGGAGGTTCAACGGGAGGAAAGCTCTGATCCTAAACTCTCTCCCCCTCCCTCCACCTCAAAGAGTTTTTGAGAATTCGGGGAGAAAATGTAAAGCCTGACACACAGGTCCTGACAGAGGGTGAGTGTTCAATAAACGTTAGCTATTCCTATTACTCTCTGATTCAAAATTCTCTAGGTATGTGCTCATGAGTGAACCGGACTTGGCCGGGTCTCCTGGGGAGCCGCCAGGACGCCCGGAGGCGGGGCCTGAATGCCGTGGGGCGTGGCCGGGACATCCCGGGGCGGGGCCTGGCTGTCGTGGGGGCGTGGCCGGGACATCCAGGGGCGGGGCCCGGCTGTCGTGGGGCGGGGCCTGGATGCCGCGGGGCGGAGGGACCGCCTGGCCACAGCGCCCCGGGTGGCTGCCCAGCGCGCAGCTCGGGCTGGGCTGACGCTGCAGGTTTCGCAGGTTGGAGAGAAAACCACGGCCCTCCAGCCCTGCGCCCCCGAGCCGTGCCTCGACCCCCGCATTCCTGAACCCCATCTTGCAGCCTCATCCCCTGGGGACCCAGGGGCTCAGCCCCTTTGGAAATCTGGGTGTCTCAACTCTGGCCTGATTGCCCGCAGGCCCCTGCCGTGGGGACCCAGAATGCTGTCGCCAAATTCCTGCTCCCTTACGCATTCTCCTCCCCAACTCTTGCTTCTAGGGGACCCAGGGGTCTGGTCACTCTGTGCCTTCCTTCTTGGGGACAAAGGGACCGCACTATCTCCCTGACCTTCGCTGCTTGGAAGTTCAGCTCTCCTATAATTCTGCGCCACACCAAAGATGCAGACCTTGAGCCGTGACGCGGCCGTGCTGCGCCCCAGCCCCACCTCCCTGCAGAGTCTGGATGGCTAAGCTCCAAGCTCTGCCCCAGCCCCCAATAAAAGTCCCAGGTCTCCCCAACACTTCCTCCACTGCAACCTTGGGACCCAGTTCTCAGCCCCACCCAGAAGGGGCCCAGGCATCCCACCTGCAATTCCCACCCACTCTGGAGTCCCCACCTGTCGCCACCCACCGAAGCCATTCCATCTGACTCTCCTTTGGGGATCAGACTTTTGAACCCCATTTCGAGGGAACCCAGGTCCCAGAGCCCCCAGCCCCCGCCCCCTTTGGAGACACAGCTACCTGCTGTCCCCTCCCTTTCTCCGGGGCCCGCCCTCACCTCTCCCGCCCCGTCCCCGGGCTGGGCGGGGCCGTCCGGGCCTTTCCCGCGGCTCCCGCTCTCCCTCCCAGGGCGCCGAGGGACCATGGCAGCGGCGGCGGCCCTGCGGGGTCGGCAGCGGGAAGAGCCCCGCGCGCTCGGCCGGGCGGTGAGGCTGCTGCAGCGCCTGGAAGAGCGGTGCGGGGACCCCCGGCTCTCCTCGAGCCCCCCCTCTCTGAGGGACCTGCTGCCCCGCACCGCGCAGCTACTGCGGGACGTGGCCCAGGCCCGGAGGGCGGCCGGCGGAGGCGGCCCCGAGCGTCCCGGGGGCGCGGGGGACTTCCTCGTCGTCTACCTGGCCAACCTGGAGGCCAAGAGCAGGCAGGTGGCGGAACTGCTGCCACCCCGGGGCGGGAGGAGCGCCAACGACGAGCTCTTCCGGGAGGGCTCCAGACTCAGGTGAGCGGACGCCCTGCCCGGGACAAGGTGGGACCACCAGCGAGGGCAAGTCAGCCCGCAGACCCTCCTCCCTCTCAGACCCAGGGGTCCGGGCCCCCGGCCCCTCCTCCCTCAGACCCAGGAGTCCGAGCCCCCAGCCCCTCCTCCTTCAGACCCAGGGGTCCGGGCCTCCAGCGCCTCCTCCCTCAGACCCAGGAGTCCAAGCCCCCAGCCCCCTCCTCCCTGAGACCAAGGAGTCCAGGCCCCCAG